TAACAGTTAACAGTTATGGACATAAATACAATAACAGTTGGTTGAGCAGAGGATGATGTAAACTAATAAAGAAATAGTTATATATAATTGAGGGCATACAATAGGTGGGTCTTGAACTTCCATTGGAATGGATGTGTCCAAGTTCAAGTTTTCAGCATTTGAAGTATGCTGGGAAAAAAAATTAAAAACCCATTATCTAATCATTAAGGATTATGCTGACCTAATCCATAATAGATGCAGTGTAAAGATATGGTATGTACCTCATCCGGGTTAAGCAAGTTGTTCAAGGTTTTGTAAACATCGTCATCCTTAACGATGGTAACAGTTGAGTATTGTTGAAAAAAGGATTGATACTTGACTCGAAATGCTAGTTCTTTGTTCAACAATTTGTCAAGCTGTGCTGGATATATTTTAGGGTTGTCCTCTCCAGCCTAGGTCAGAAGCATGGTTAGAATGTTAAATAGCATAATGTAACAGAAAAATGAAAATATTATGAAATGTTGGTTTTGAAGTACATACCTCCTTCATGAGTTGTCTTAACTCTAGAGATGTCATTTGAATGAAAGGGATACAATCCTTATCCCAAAACACAAAGCACCCAACGTGGTTATCATAGTCAACCTCAACTTCTATTTTGAATTTAAAACATGAAGAAAATAAGGTGAGTTCAATTGAGTTCAGTGTGTGAATACACATGAGGGCATAGATGTATATTTGGATGATAACTTAGTGATAGGTTCCACATCTTTCACTCCACAAATGCACTCAAAATTCTTTCCATGTGACTTGTTAGAGGTCTTGCAAGCAGGAAAGACTCAAAATACCATCCAAACTTAGAGGCTTTGAATCTCTTTGTAGTGCCAATTGTCATGGCAAAACAATACTTTCCTGATTCATTAATATGACGAATAGTTTTGACCTCATTGGGGCTGGTCCAACTTTTGTTTGTTGATTGAACAGATGAATCACATGTTTGGCTCAGAGAATGTGAGGATGGAGTTGATAGTTGTATTGAACCACCACTATTATGCATTAAAAAAATCAGAACTAGTATGCAAGTAAAATGTGACAGAAGTAAAATGTTGTATAATACTTCTACTGGTATGCAAGTTAGAATACAAAACGGTTATGTAATTGAACTACACAACTTTAATATGAGTTGGGTTACGAAATATGAAAAGCTTACTACCTGGATTTCAAGCACTGAACTTGGGGATGATCTAGGTTAATGTGAAGTCTAGAGCCATTCCAAGCATTTGAGAGGCTTGGGAGTCCAAAAGCTGATGCATAGACAAAGACGTGTAGTTAGAGTGCATGATAAAGAAGAATCATTGAACAATGAAAAAATAGAGTTTGTCTAAGAACATAGCAAACCTGAATTTTTCTTACACCAAGCATGTGTCAAAATAAGTATTGTTAGACCATCATTCTTGTTAGAGTTATTGTAGTTCATAAATTGTTTACCATAATCATCCCATAATGCAACTTCAATGGCATTACCAGGTTCATCATGCAGGGTGATATTGGTGCATGATTTCTTACCACCACCACCCATTTGAGTTTTCACAACATCTTGTAAAATTCCGATCACATATGAAGTATCAATGAAAACATAATGAACACATGTTGGCTACAAAGATTTTATAGTATGCAAAAAGGAAAAAAAATACCATATAACATCAATATGGAAAAGTCCATTGAGAAAGTCTCCAATAGCCTTGAATTTGAACTGATGCGGAGGTATTTCCGGCATGACAATGTTTGAAATTGTTGTTCCTCCATTAAAGACAAGTTTAAGGCTATTGGAACAAACTTTGAATGAGCCATCATTAACCACCGGTTCTCCATTATAAACGGCGTAAGTGTCATGTTCCTTAAGTAGCTCAACCCACTCCTTGAAATCTCGGTTCCTCGTCACAACATGAATTTAATCACCCTGTTATATCATTTATTAGATAGCAGCAACACAGTGATATAAGTGCATCAAAAGTCACAAAGTATTACCTTTCCATCTTGTATGACCAACTCGACATGTTGTTGGCCACTTTTCTCCTTAACAACCCAAAGATCAACAACGCGTACGTGCATTTTCCAAACTTGATTACCTTTCACCAAATCCTTGATAAAGATTGGAGGCCTTGACATGTTTGAGACAAAAAATGAACAATGTATCACAATGACAAAGAAGGTCATACATCAAATAACAACTCAAAATAAAAACTCACAAAAATAACAGCTCAAAAACATAGGTCACAAAAATAAAATCTGATCTTTTAAAACTATTTCCATGACAGTAGACAGAACTTATGATGATAAACACATGAAAAAAGATGCAATGTGATGTGGGACAGTTTATGCATCATGTGAAAATATAAGTAAACTTGTCAACAACACTTGTTATAGTTAGCCATGAGAAATTGCATTTCTATGTCAAACATACAAACAAAATTTCATAACTGTTAAAAAAATGTGAGACAATGGTGGTGGACATGTGAAATATTTCTGTCAAACATATTTTAGGCCTTGAGTTCTTTAATATGTTGTGGTGATATTTTGAACACATGATGAAACACTAACCAAACAGAACACAAACCATTGTCAAAAAACACTGACCAAAGAGAAACAATAACCAAACATAGTGAAATATTGTTGATATTTGAACATGAATAAGTCATAAAACAGAACACAAACACTCATATCTTGATGATGTTTGAAAATAAACACATCCTTTTTAAAGTGATAAACTACACATGAGAAACAATTTTTTTGTGTCAAACACTTCATAACAGTTGAATCCAAAACACACAGCTGGTGGATCTGTCACAAAATAAACACTAACCAATAAACAGAACATATTGAACTAACCTTGCAAGGGTATGCTGAGATGTAGTGGACACAAATGTTCTTGAAGTGAAAAGTGAGAGACTTAGTGAGCAAAATAAGGTTATATGGCATATCCAGAAATCGTTTTGGAGCAGTAACCGATGAACATGGAAAAAGGGGAAAAACATTTTGTTTAACTGCAACAAACCAGAAGATGACACGTCTGCTGTAATGAGGAAGATGGAGTGGTGAAATGGTGTATTTTGTTAATTACTGAAAAACCCTTGTTGTAGTGTAAAATTTTGTTGCTAAAAGGGTAATATAAGCAATGCACTCAGTAGTATAGTATTAGTTAGATAGTAGATGAGCGAAAGAGAATAAAAAGTGAGAGAAAAGAATGATATTAATTTAAAATTACATGAATGCCCTTGTATGAAGCATGAGATATTAGGATTTTTTTTGTCTTTTTCCAATTTATCACTTTTCCATTCAACTTTCTCTCCATTTTTTAGTGGAAAGATTTTTAAGGTAAGCCCCAATAAAAATATTTTTTTCTTTCTCTATTTTGTGTAATATTGTAAGTACCTTTTTTATTTGTCTTCTTTCAGGTCATGATGATCCATGCATTTATTGCTTGTACTATTTCCATGCTTTGAATTTTGTTTTAAAATCACCAGATCCACTAACATACACTACCTCACTCACCATTCCTCCAAATTAAAGTACAATATCTTTCTTCCTACATTTTAACCTAATCATGTTTTATTAGTAAGCCTCTTCTATTTATATGGCTACCTATATTTCAACTCATAAAACTTTAGTTATATCACTTGGAAGACATGAAAACAGTTTTCTATAATAATGCAAAGATTACAACCACTCATTTATCAAATATTAAATCAAGAAACAATCAACAAAAAGTAAATTATATAAAGACTTAACTTTTCATTATCTTATACATCACAACAAACAATATTTTTTAACAAACATTTGAGAATCACACTTAGAAAAGAAAGGAATTTTTTAAAGGAATTTTACAACGACTCCAAAATTGATTTTTTAATTTAGAAAATGATATGAATAGATTTTCTACTCAAAAGACCTAAAATAAAAATCTTTTTAATTATTATTATCTAGGAATATGGTTATGTTTACTATCACTAACCATTATCAGTTCATAATGTTGTTGAATATATTGATTGAGCGAGGAATCAAAAGTTAATTGATTCAATAAATATGGTATCATTTATTAGGAACAAAAACATATATGTCGAGAAATAGATGAATATATACTTATGAACCTTGAAATGGTATAACCGATCAAAAAAATATATATCTGAACAATAGATGAATATATACTTATGAACTTTGAAATGGTATAACCGATCATGAGGTTTCATGAAATGATTAATTGACGAATTCTAATCTCAAACACACTTTCTTAACTTTGATTAAATTTGTGCAATTTTAGACTTTTAAGATGCAGTTCTCGTGAGTCTGTCCCATCTCCCCCTTATCTTTATGCCGGGAGGACTAAGAAGTTAGATTTACAACTACGTTTTTACAAGCTTTTTTGAGCAGGATTAAACAGGACAGACATGTTCATTTGCCACTCTTAATTTAAATCATTGATCTATATCTAATCTCTTATGATTTTTACGAATTATCTCAATAATTTTTTACATTTACATATGTCAAATTACTTACTTACTCACTAATCTTTTATACAAACGTAAAATTGAACATTAATGAATTTTACATAAATCGTTTTCGCGTAAAATTATTCTTTAATAATAGTTTTTCACTACTTCATGAATAAATCATTATCTGGAAAAAAATTCCCCTTTGAAAATTGTAGCACCTCAAATTCCAATCACAAATGATTGTTTTTAAAATTTTCATACAATTTATAATATATAAAAATTTTAAAACTGGATAAATTTTCACAATTTCACCGAATTACATAAAATCAGCACACCATTTTCCTCATTAATTTCACCTTAGAATGACCATTTAATACACTTAGAAAAATAATGAAACTCAATATATTTATATATAACATCTATGGATACACACTAGTTTGTTTTATTGCACACAGACAAGAAACATGAGCTTAATGGTACATTTGATAAACTATCTTGAGGTGTGAGCACAAACCATTTTCTATGGCATTTTCTTCACAATTTGCTAAACTTAACTTCGACCCCATCCATTGGAGCAGGATGTGAAAGATAAATTATATCTGCATTTGGATTAACAAGCTCCCACCTGAATTATTCATAAAATAAAACAAATTAGATCATAGTTTAAAAGCCTATTTACAAGTTCGATTTTGAAGAAAAAGAATTTGGGAGATTGCGTCTATATTCTACTCCCTCCGTCTCACAATAAATTATCTATTTAAAATAAAAGAGTGGTTCAAAATGAATGACTTATTTCAATTTTCAATGTGTCTTTTTCAATTTTATCCTTTAATTAATATTATTTTCATCATTTCTAATATATAATAAAAATACTTCAGTAAAAATATCATTCTCTTTCTTTTATTTATTCTTTTTTTTAATCTGCGTAAAAAATCAACTGAGTCATTCATTATAAAACGGATTACCTGTATCCTATGGATAAATGATGAAGTAGAATTGCGAGTTGAATTCTTGCGAGCGTATTTCCAGGGCAAAGTCTTGGTCCGCCGCCAAATGGTTGGTATGTTCCAGACATTAATGGCTCCTAACAATTTATATAGAAAATTATCACTCATTAGGGTTTTGAAAATAATATTGAAACTTAAACTAAGAGAGATTAATGATACATACATCCCATCTATCAGGATTGAAATACATAGGATTCTTAAAATTCTCTGGATCTGTATGAAGATAACGAAGGAAGAGAATAATTGTCCATCCCTTTGGCATCTTATAACCTAGAAAAATATTATAGCTTTTTTGGTCAGAAAATATTACTGTCTAAACAGCATAAGTTAGTTGAAAAAATGTAACTATCTACCTTTGTAATTAACTTCTGTGTCAACTTTTCTAAAAATACAAGCTGCAACATTGGACATTCTTATCACTTCTTCAACGACCTGTGTTCAAATTAATTTATAAAAAAAAATATTTTATATATATACATATATACAAACGCGCGCACACGTAAAATTTTGACGAATGAAATACCTTGTTTGTGTATTTTAAATTTGAAACATCTTTAGCTGTGATAAAATCTTCGGGACTCCCCTTTGTAAAAGTCATGTTCTCTTCCTACAATTACGACAATAATTATTATGATGATCTTGTTGTAAAACCGAAAGTTAAGATTATTATTATAAGACACGTGAATACCCTTAATTTTTTTAGCACAATTGGATACTTGGCAAGAAGGTAAATAGCCCATGTAGATATAAGAGAAGTAGAGATATATCCGGCCGCCACAAGAGAGACAATATTGTCTATAACTTCTTTTTCACTCAATTTATCACCTTCATCATCTTCAATTTTCATCAATCCATCCATTAGATCAATTGTTTCTGGCTTTTTTTCATTCTTTCTGTTATCTAATTCCATCCAGAAAAAATCCTCAAGCTTTCTTCTACACTGAAGAGCATGGTGGTATGCAAAACCAGGAATGTTAATTGGATAAGCTCTCACTCCTAAAAGCAACTCTTGATAGAGCTTATCCAATGAATTTAGAAGAGGACTTGGTTCCTTGCCCATAAATAATTTTCCAATGTTCTCGAATGTTAACTGCATTTAAAATATAATAATAGTTTAGTTTATAGATCAGAGATTCCATTAGCGATATTAACAAATTAGTTATAAGTTAGTTAGAAACTAGTTACAAATTTGTTATACTAGATGAAAGTTAGTTATTAGTTACTGGTTAGTTACAAATATTGTTATACTAGATAAAAGTTAGTTATTAGTTACTGGTTAGTTACAAATTGGTTATATTAGATGAGAGTTAGTTATACTCTTAATCTATATACATTAATTATTTAATTTTTATTTATCATAATAATCGAATAGGTATTAGTTAAGATATAAATACCTTTTGAGTTTCGAGTCGGGCATTGATTTTGCCGATTTTAGCCCAAGATTGAAGAGCATTGATCATGCGAGGTTGAACAAGAGTAGCGATGCGGTTTAGGGCATCGGGCCGATTGATGGCATTGGTAACAAAGTTGCGGACGCGGGTATGGGCCTTTCCATGGACACCCACCAATGAAGTTCGGCCCATAAGTTCAATGGTGGGCCATATTGTTATGAGCCTGTCTTCTTTATGTAGCACGAATTTGTGAATATTTGGAGTATATACTAAGATGGATGGTGCCCCAAAGAGATGTGTTCTAAACATACCTACTTCATCTCCATATCTGTGACAATTTTTATCAACAATCATGTGTTATTTGTTATAGAAGTGCGATTGATTTAAATTAGAAAATGACCTTTGAGATGAGATTAAAACTTACTTGCGTCTCTTAGCATTAATAAAATCATCAGGACGTCGAACAATTTTGAAGTACCAAAGAAAACTTATCATTTCTCCGATGAAAGGTAATCCCATATGACCTGGTGGCAACTTTGTTGAAGATTTTAAGCACTTATATTTGAGAGGAAGAACATACCAATACTCATTCCACCACCATAACACAAACCCAATAACTATACCAAACAACCCTAAATATATTGCATCCATTCTTAACTTTTAGATCTATGTGATTCTCACTCTTGTTGAGTTTATATGTCATGCATGGTTATGGTTATATTTATAATAGTACTCCTTTCATTTTAGGTATGATTCTTGATTGTTTATTCCTTCTGTTTCATGTTACTTGAAAACAAATATTTAACCAACTTGCTTCTTTTGACAAAAATACATTGGAATAAACCAATGTTCTAATGTATTTTATTCACAATAATACATTTCTATCCTTAGGAATATTCTTTGTCTCTTGAAATTTATGTTAATTTAACAATGGCATACTTTGTGTATATCTTTTAACACAGCGACAGTTAAATAAATATATCATTTTTAACTAGTATCTCCCTTTCTCACCATCACAATGATTCATTTTAGAAAATGAAATGAGAAAAATAAATAAATAGATGGAACTTTAACTTAACAAAAACCCATTTTTATTTTGATCTTTTTTTGAAAATTCATCGGATTAAAATTGAATTTTGTTTATTTTATTAAAAAAAATTGAATCAAATATAAAAATAAAAACCATGTATATAAATTTTAATATTTATTTATTTTATCATAAGTAAGAGGCAGTTTTAAATTAATCTTCTATTTTTAAATGATACTTATTATTTAAATGTAATATATTTCTATAATATTTCAAATGCCTTCAAATATAATTGATATTTGTGACTTAGTGATGTCTAATTTTCAATACCTTAAAACTTTTTTTAGGCCTTATGTATGGTTCATAATTTAACTGTGGAAAAATGTGTTATGAGGTCCCAAATAATTGTGATAAGATTTTGGGCATTGTTGTGAGACATTGAAATAGCGAGCCAAATGTAATGTAGGGTGCCACATAATGTAAGCAATAAGAAGAAATATTGAGGCTAGATTTTGTAAGTCCATGTTTTGGCTTATAAGAATAACTTTGTCTATAATCGCCTCACTTGTATGATTTATTCGAACACAAACGATCAACAAAAAAGTCTATTTTCACAAAAATCGTCCTTATTACTTATGCATTTTTTAGTTTAGGAGTTCACGAAAATCTAACATCATACTTAACACTCTTTAAAAAGAGTTAAAGAATGCACAATTGAGGGGCAAAGTTCCTTTCTCGACGTAAACTTTTGAAACACAAAGAAAATTAGGATTTTGAAATATTAGACAACTCAACTAACTAGCTTCCAAGTTCGACTATAAACATATTACATTATCACAGATCAAAGCTTTATGATGATTATCATCAACATAATCCTTTGACATATGTTATCATCAACAACACCTTTTGATGATATTACTTGCACGACATATGCAACGACATTTTCCTCCTTTTTGATGATGATGGTGCATCTCTCAAGTGTATACTAATATTTGTTCAAGTGCGCAGGACCATAGACTAAAATTTCAGGAATAATTTAAGTATTGGTTTTGATGTTGAACATTTATAGAGAAGCTTAAATACCATAATCTAAAGGATCAGAAGCTGAAGATCAGACTTTGAAGAAGCCAAGGTCTGATGACTAGAGTTTGAAGAAGTCAACCTCTAAAGATCATACCTTGAAGAAGTCTGCCTTTGATGATCAGAACCTGAAGGCAGTTAAAGCACAAAGACCAAAGCGACTCTGATAGGTCACTGTCAAACTCTGAGACTACTTTGTCTTCTTCTGGTCACGTGAAGACCTAAGTTTTTTCTCATGGTGTCAGGTGGGATGTAACTGATAATTCTTCTTATAGAAAAGGAATTTCAAACAAACTTTCAACAATATTAACCATTTGAAGAAACATCATAATGTCTCTATTTAAGCTTCTCAAAGGCTCTCTTATGCAAGACCTTCAATGACTCTTTTCTTTCTCTATTTAAGAAGATGAAGACTTGAAGAACGATAACAAACTATTGACAATAAAATAACAGTCACTCTGTCAAAACATAAGCATGTGTTTAACTTAGGATTACTTATCTTTGTATATTCTAGAAATCCCTAAATCTTAAAGAGTCTTCTTGCATTGTATTTTGTCTACACCTCCGATTGTATATCAAGTATATTAGTTCGAACAATATTTTATCTGTTAGGTAGATTTTTAGAAGTCTTTTACTTAATATTTGAGCATTTGATGTCTCTTGCTTGTGCTCTTGAGCATAGAAGTATCTTGCTTGTGTGCTTGAGAATTAAAAGTCTCTTGCTTGTGTGTTTGAGCATAAAAGTCTCTTACTTTGTGTTTGAGCATTGTAAGTCTCTTGCTTGTATGCTTGAGAAAATTGTTATCTTGTATGATTATAGTGAAAATCTCTTGTAAGTCCGAGGGGACTAGACTACTCTCGGTTTGTGAGAGGAACCATAATAACTTTGTGTATCTCCTTCTTTCTTTCATTATTTATCTGTTGCTTATCACTCACCTCTAATTGGTTCAGATTTTATATTATGTGTTTAGAGTCTGACTAGAGTTTTTTTTTTTAAAAAGAAAATTTCAACACAATTCAACCCCATTCTTGTATTTTCTCATCTTCAGTTGGTATCAGAAAACGGTATATGTTAAATACTTAACGTGGTACAAAAAAGATCTTGAGAAAAACATATTAAAGCATGTTTGGAGTATCTGAGTCTGATAGTGGTACTTCTAATCCATGAGCTGCTATTGATCATGATTATAATACTTCTAAAATGAATAACTATACTACTAGAACTCCAAATTTTAATGGAGACTCTATTAAGTTTGAATGGTGGAAGAGAAAGATGTATACTCATATCATAAATATTGATGATAAGTTATGGGACATCCTGGAAGATGGCATTGATATTCCAGTTACTGACAGAAAAACTCTCACACCTGCTTAGAAAAATATCTATAGAAAACATTATAGAGTTAGAGGCATTTTGGTAGATGTTCCGCCTCACTCTAAGTACATCAAGATCATTGAAAAACCTACTGCTAAAACCATTTTTGAATTCCTATGTGTTACATATGAAAGGAATCAACAAGTTAAGGAAGCAAAGGCTAACCTTCTGGTTCAATAATATGAACTGTTCAGAATGAAGGATGATGAGGATATTGAAACCATATTCTCAAGGTTTCAAATTCTTGTGTATGGACTTCAGGTTCTGAACAAGAGCTACACAACCTCTAATCATATCAACAAGATTCTTAGGAGTCTTCCTACCAGATACATACCTAAAGTAACATCTATTTAGGGAGCCAAAGACTTAAACATATTAAGTATTGAAAGTCTTATAAGCAATCTCTAGAGCCATGAGATGGAGCTAAATGGATATGAACCTACTAATAAGTTAAAGTTGCTTTAAAATTTGTTGCTAAATCTGCTAAGGCTCTTCAAGTCAGGGAGTCTGAAGAAGCTTCTCATGTAGAAGGTTTTGAAGAAGATTCAGATGATAGGGAGATGGCTTTTATTATTAAAAGATTTCAATATCTAGGAAAACAAAACAAAATATTATCTGGTAGAAGTAGTGGCTTAGGAGGATCAAGTTCAAGAGAGAAAAAGGATGATCAGAAGGGATGTTTCAACTACAAGAAGAGTGGTCACTTCATTGTAAACTGTCTAGAGGTGCAAAAGGACAAGTCAAAGAAATGAATTTATCAGAAGGACAACCTCATAAACAAGTTCAATAAGAATCTTATGGCAATGTGGGATGAACTTGACAAAGAAGATGAATCAGAAAAAGATGAGGAAGAAGCCAATCTAGCTTTGATGGATCTTACATCTTCAGACATAAAATCTGACTCAGATTCTGGTTTAAAGTCTAAATAAGAGGATGAGGTATTTTCTAAACTATTTTGTTTTGAGTTAATTACTTTCATTTAAGACCTTATGAGTCAGTGTAAAAAAAACAAACACATGAAAATATTGAAAAAACAATATGATCTATTGAAAGATGAATTAAAATATTTTCAAAACAAGAATAAAGCTTTAGAAAGAGATCATATTGCTTTAGTAAAATAAGTTCTAATAAACCCTTTAATGAGCATGAAATGTCTCTTCAGGAGTTTATCATAACTAGCTTTAACAGAACTAAACTTGCATCCATAATTTATGGCGTAAGTAGAAGCAAAAGAGAAGATCTTGCTTATTCTCAAAAACCTTTTAATCCAAGTGCTGAAATCTTTACTAAACCAACATAACCTTCTTCTTCAAGCTCTGCTCAAAAATGGCTAGATTCGTATTTTATACTTGTTGCTGACAATGCAAAGGTTTTGAACCAGTCAGAACCTAAAATTGTTGAGTTAAGGGTTCTGAAGAAACCAGAATCTAAGACTCTAAAGTTAAGGGTTCTAAAAAAACCCAGAACCTAAGACTCTAAAGTCAAAGGGTCTGAAGAAACCAGAACCTAAGATATCAGGACATAACATTCTAAAAGGTTCATAACTAAAGGCCAAGATCCCTTCAAGACAACAAACTTTTAAATCAAAAGTCTTGAATGATCCTAAGGCTTATTATATGAGAGTTAAGGTATAAAGTAAGAAGAAACATGTCAGAACTTGCCCAAAAAGACCCATAAGACTATGGGTACCTAAATCTGAAATTGTTTTTGCTAGAGATATGCTTCAAGGGAAAAGCAAAACATTGTCATGGTATCTGGACACTGACTTCTCACGACATTTGATAGAAGAAAAACATATGTTCTAAACCTTAACTCTAAAAGAGGGAGGAACTGTGGGATTTGGAGGAATCCGGAAAGGAAAAATTATTTGTATGGGTAATATTGGTAATTTCTCTATATCTATTATTAATGTTTGGTTAGTAGATGGACAAAAATATAACATATTGAGCATTAGTCAATTTTGGGACAGTGGTTATGAAGTCATGTTTAATAAGAACAACTGTATAGTCATGAATGATTCTGACGAGTCCATAGTGTTCAAAGGTAGGAAGAAAGACAATATTTATAAAATTAATTTTTTTGAATTGGTTGATCATAAGGTACTTTGCCTTCTATCAATGAGTGATGAAAAATGGCTATTAAACATAAGTTTAGGTCCTGCTAACTAGA